TTCTAGTTAAATCAACTTAATTCTCTGCAAATAGTACTTTCTTTCCTCCATTTCATTCCTATTGTATTGTCTAGAAATTGTAGGACATTTCTACTTAAAAGGTTTTTGCCATAGAGTGCACAGGCTCATCAGAGAGAGACAGTGAGAGGGAATGTGAAAAATCACCCCCGGGGGGATGGCCACACCACGACCTCTTCTCCTCTATGCTCCTCCTAGAATTCTGGGCATGCACGGATGTGGGATGGCCACACCACGATCTCTTCTCCTCTATGCTCCTCCATCCGTGCATGCCCAACATGATTTTCAAGCTATTTTCAGGACTTGAACTGCTATTGGCCATGTGGGAGCCCAGACCTTTAACCACTATGCCACCTGCTGGCCCCATGTTTTCTCTTTTCTTTTCTTTTTTTTTTTTTAAGGAGATGACTTGTATTTTATCCTTGAATGAGATAATTGTGGCGATTCGCTTGAAATAGACATCTTAATATATGGAAGACCTGATCCTCTAAGTTACACTTTTTTTTTTTTGAGAGGTTTTCGCTATAGGGCGCGTGCGCTCGCCAGACAGACAGAGAGAGAGACATAGAGACAGAAAGCGAGAAACACCCCCTAGGGGGGATGGTCACGCCGCAATCCCTTCTCCTCCATTCTCCTCTCGGGATCTTGGGCACACACTCACACACGCCCAGCGTGAGTTTTAAGCCACTAGGTCGGGGACGCAAACTGTGGTTGACTACGTGGGAATCCAGCGACATAGCCATTACGCTAACTGCTGGTTCCCCTAAGTTACACTTTTGAAAACAAGATTTTGGCATGAAAGTTCACTAAAAAACTTAGGGAAATCTAATTGTACAAGCTTTTCTTACTTTACCTAATGTGATAGTAATACATTTCTTGATGTTGAACAATCTTTATTGTATTAGCTTTTTCTGCAATGACAACCTCCGAAGCTTAGCAGTTTGTATACACAAACATGTCACCAAAAGTTGCAAGCTCTATTATAGCCAGCAGGTTGACCATAATTCTACTTCACTATCTTCTTTCTAAGTCTAGGAAGAAGGAGCAGCAGTAATTAGAGTAGAGAGAAAAAGCCAGAGAGATCGAAAAGGATTATGTAATTGTATTAAAAGCTTATACTGGAAAATGGCAAACTTCACTCCTATTCAGATCCCATTAACCACATCATATAGCCAAGTCCATTATCATAAAAGTGGAGAAATATGTTCCTTTCTCAGTATGGGGAAGGAAGAAAGAATATTTGTGAAAAGTAATGAAAACAGGCATACTTTAAAGATTTAGATTCTTCTTGACCCTGGTACATTATTCTCCTATAATTATATACCATTAAGTCTATATGCTAATCAACTTAGTCTTTACATGAATAATCACATGTGAAATTTATACCTAATTTTTTCATCCTTCTTTTAAGGGTTTGCTGAATAATTGTTTGCTTAGTATCATGAACTAGATAATTTTCTATATTTCTCTCTATGTCCTGTATATTGAGCTATTTATTCTATTTGAGGACTCAAAAATGTCAACCAGTACTATTTTAAAACTGGAGCCATTGGGAGGATGCAAATTTTGAGAATTTTCTGCTATTGATAGGAATATTATTAAATATTTTTAGATATCTAAATATGTTTAGATAGCTTTAATTTTTCCAGAAATCAACCACCTAAGAATTTTCAAATTTGGTAGTGATAAGTTTAAATATATATTTAGCATGCTTTTTTTCTACATGTTATAACTCCTTTATTATTTCTACATTTCTTACTGGGATTTTCTATCTTTACTATTTTGTGGTTCCTGTTCTTTACTTTTTCCTTATTTTATAATGCATTTTTAGTACTGCTTTTTATTTTTCAAAGCAGTCTTTCTTTTGCTTTCTTTTTCACTTTTTATTTAAAAAAAATTAACTTATCTTACAGAATAATAAAAATCTAGCTGTGAATTTAAGTATAAGCTTAGCAACACTACATAAATCCGTTAGATCATAAATTCAGTGAAAGCTGTGTTTCTATTCTCAAGAGTCTAGCATAGTGCCTTCATTACACAGTTTCACAATGTTTAATAACTTTACATTTTTTTCTGAGGTAGAGGTATCTTTTTTGATATTTGATATTTGATATCTTTTGGTATATTTGATTTTTTCCTTTTCAGCACCATAGTTAATTTCTTCATACTAGGAAGCTTTTATTTCTCTAAACTTCCATAGGTTTAGTGGTTCTCAGACTTTAACATGTACTAGCATATTCTGAAAAACTTGTTCAGTTTTAAAACACTGGTCTCCACCCTCAGTTTCTCAGATAATTCTTGTTGACAAAATTAGAATAAATGATAATGTTAATTAAAATAAACATTAAAATAAAAAAAACATCATATATTACTAATTACTTTTAGTATATAAAATGAGGTTATTTAATGTTTTCAAAATACAGCAAGTCGTATTACTAATGAGTAGTTGTGCTTTATATCACACCTCCCCTCTTCATTAGTGAATTCACTAAGAGGTGAATTTAAAAGAAAGAACAAAACATGCTTCTTTCTTTCCTTTGTTTAGGTTAAGGAATAATTACTCAAATACAAGGTACTTAGCAGCTTCAGACAATATCAGTGCTTTAAGACAGTTGTTCTCAATCTTTTCTTTTTTTTTTTTTTTTTTTGGTGGAGGCTCATTTAGGTTAGAGAGAAAAAGGAAAAAAAAAAAGAACTATTGAAGTCCAATGAATAAAATAATGCTAAATAAAATATATACAGTCACACATACATGTGTATATATAAATGTGTGTGTATATATATACATATGTGTGTGTGTGTGTGTGTGTGTGTGTGTATATATATATATAAAGATATAGAAAATAACAGTCGAATTGTACCACCTATAGTTGTAAAACAATACATGGATGTAAAAATATCACAGAATTCTAAAATTGTAATAAAGGGAAGAATCACAATTATTTAGAATAGTTTTAGAAATAATTTTACTATGAACATAATAAACCAAACTAACAATAATTGTGTTTCTTTTAAATCAAGGGAAAAGTTATGTTACACAGTACACTTTATTCACTGTGTCAGGGTCAATAGTGGTATAGTCAGACCTTGACAGAATTAAGTAGAGAACAAGTTTTCTGAAAGATGAGATAATCAGGTTTTCATATTGTTATTTCTACAAATGAAAACATTACTATACATTAATAAATGGCATGATGGGAGAGGGGATTCTGTATAACAAGGGGCTCTGATGACATGCAAAAAGAGATTGAAAAACCTCCATCTTCATGTTTATTGAGACAATTTTGTCCTTAATTCTAGTCATTTCTGATATACCAATTGTTAACAGGTAATGCTAAAACAGAAATTACAGTAATTAAAATCTTTAGTATACCTGGTGTTACAGCACCATCTATCATAAGTGTATACACATTTATATAAACTAGTGGCTTTAATATGTGAATATTCATTTTTATACACCTTTCCTGTTCTAGGACTTAATTTACTACTTCCTAGTCATGAGGTCCAAAGGTCTGATTTTAGTGTCCCAATGTTTGTAACTGGTACCATCTCTTCTGTAATAGGAAACAGTATTATTGACAAAGCAATAATGCTTGAACTTAATTATTCTATGTGGGGTACTAGTATTACAATAGCACTCTCATCACCTAAAATCTTACCAGACCATAATTACTACCCTCACACCCCGTCCTCCCATCCCAGCTATAAACTCAGGAGTTGAGGCCCAATAAACTTTTAACAAGCCTTTGAGAGAATTCTAATGAATGCTCAAGTTTGAGAACTGCTGTATAGTAAAAATGCCCAACAGTGCAGTCAAATTGCTAAGTGCCAAAATCTGAATTCTAAGGAAATTTCACTATGTTCTGATATTCAACGCACCATTCTAATGAAACATTGAAAATAATAAGGTCTTCCAAAAATTTCATGGAAAATGAGTCAAAAAAAAAAAAAAAGGCATGGATTTCAAAATGTTTACACCAAAAAAACCACTTGCACTTTACTTCCATTTTCCATTAACTTTCTCATATCCCCTCTTGTGAGGACTACAAACCTTCAATAACTTCCAGGCTTACAGGCAAGAATCCATTATTAGTAGACATTTAATGTTGACTTTACTAACGCTTAGGAATTACTTTCCCTCTTTGAACATCTATGAGAACTATGACATGCAAACAAATGCACATTCATCCTATTAGGTCACAGGTCTGAAATTCCCCTAGCCTCTTTTAAAAGGAATTATCCGTTTAATTCTTTTTCATGGACTCATAACTCCTACCCTGGACTTATTTATACTACCAGTTTAAGAAGTGAAAAGAAACAAAAATGCTTTTAAGGCAGAAGTCAGTCTAAGCCAAATGCCTGTGGCACCTTCTCCAAGCGAGAAAGAAGGATCTCAACCCAGAAGAGGATGGCAGGGCCCAAAGACAAGGCATAAAGTACAGAAAATAACTTTTTGTCGGAGCTTAACACTAGTGAACAGACACACTTTCCTCTCTATACTGGCTTTGTACAGCTCCCGCTGCGGCGTCACCACCAAGTCCCTTCCGCGCGGGAACTCGAAGGGGCGGAGACTCGGGTCCCGCCCCCTCAGGAGAGGGAGAACGGAAAGCCGGGACCGCGGTTTCTCTGGAAGGTTCCGAGAGAAAGGCGCGCTCTCCCTCCGCAGACGGCGAGAGACCACCAGATGGCGCTACCGCACCGAGAGCCAGAACCTGGGTCTCTGGGGAGACGGGAAGAGGCGTCACCGGAACTTTTCTTTTGCGCCCGCTGCCGGAAATGCGTGCTGGTAGCAGCCGCTCGTCCCGGATATTGAGAGTTCCCGCGCGAGGGCGGGACTAGAACCGGAACCGAACAGCGACCGTCGGGCCTCGGGCGGAAGCCCCAGGCGACGCCTGTGGGCGCTGGATTTTGGTGCGCGCGCCTTGTCTTGGCGGGAGCGCGAGAGGTGGGGCGGGGCCTTGTTTTGCGCCTGCGCAGTAGGGCGACGTAGGCGTCGCCCGCGTACGCGTTTTTCTCCATCTTTGAGCGTTTGCTGGCCTTGCGGAAATGGTGACGTAATAGGTTTTTTTTTTTTCCCCCTCCTCCCAGCCCCCACGGTGCTTGGGTTTCTGGCTGTGAGTCAGGTTTCTGGAAATCTTTGTGGAAAGTTAATGGTATGTGAGGTAAAAACTCGAGCTGTATTTTCCTCTTACTTTGAAGCGACCCAGATGCGTGCTGGGTGGGGTCCCAGTGCTGCGGTGGACCGCGCTTTTCACTCCAGATCTTCCTAAACTGTCTTGGTCCGGCTTGGTCCCCCGTCTGCCTTTAAGCATCTGTTCTGAGGAAGAGAGGATATCACAGAGATTGCAGATGTCACGCATGCAAATAGATTATTCTTGTAGAACTATACGTATTTTAAAATTATTTGAGGAAGCATGTCTTCCAGCTTTTTAGCAAGTGATTTTCTTAAGGAGTTGTTTTAACTCTTATTTTTGCCAGAATAAACTGTATTCTTTACCTCGTGCTGTGGCCTTGGTCTTTATTAAATTTTGTTAGCCAAAGAAGGGCTGCCTGTGCCGGTGTGTTGCAAAGGCAAACTGACCTTTTTCACTTTAACAAGATAGAAGTAAATGAACTAGTTACCATAAATGAACCACAGTAGTTGTCAGCATTGGCTTTGTTTTGTTTTTAGATGCAGTGAAGAATAATCAAGTATGTTGCAAAAATAAAATCGCGTGAATCTGTATCCACCCTGTTTTAATTTTAGACTAATTTTAAAAGTGTCAGCTGTGCAAAGTGCTCAGTTCTTCCAGAAAATTTCTTTACCCTTAGAAAACACTTTATCTTTGAATTTCAGAGCTCCCTGTAGTCTGTGGCCTATAAAGCCAGAGAGAAAACAATAGAGACCTTTAAGAACATATTGAGAGAGAGAGCTGTGGAACAGGGAATGCAAGAAAGCTTGTCCAGTAGCCTAATAAGGACGTTTTACTATTATTTGCTAAAAAAATCCTTTTGATAGTCTTGGTAGGAGGTGTAGTAAGCTACTGTGGCTTGCAGAGTGCCTTGGCATTTGTGTAAAAGCCAAAGGGGAGGTTTGGGTCACATTGCAATAGCATTAAATACTGGTCAGGGTAGGGCGAGGAAGAGGCAAGATGTCCAGAAAAAACAAGTTAGAGCTAAAGCTTTGGTAAATCTGGAAAGAGGCTAATTGGGAAGACAGAGAAAAACAACTTTTAGGTCTTAAAATGAATGTGTAGAATAAGATAAACATATTTCATCATTAGATATTTCACCTTTAGCTACATTCCATTTAGATGTCTAATTTTTCTCTATGTTCCAATCTTCCCTATTACCTACTACAACTAACCATCAATTGAGGGATCACTTTGTTTTGGCACCATTGTACTGTTAACACTAACATAGATCGTAACAGTTTACACACATGTGTGTATATGTGTATATGTATTCAAAAATAGGGACATTTATTCTTTTTTTAATTTTTTTTTCCTACAGGGCATGTGCACTCACTAGAGAGACAGAGAGAAAGAAAAATCTCCTCCTAGGGTGGATTGCCACAGTGCAATCCCTTCTCTGCCTTTCTCCTCTCAGGATTTTGGGCATGTACACACACCTGGTGTGAATTTCAAGCCGCCAGGTCTGGGACTCGAACCACAGTGAATGACATGGGAGTCTAGCATGTATGCATTATGCCATCGGCTTGTCCCAATAGTGGCAGTTAAATCACTCTGCAATATCCTCAACTCTTGTCCTGGATTTCTAGCACTTGCCTAGCAAAACCCAAACCATGGATGAATTCATGTATTTATCTTTTCTATATTTTTCCCCCACCACTTCATAACTGATGTGTCAATGTGATCTCACACCCACATTGGCTCTCCACATCGATCAGCCCACCAATTCCTTTTCTCTAGTTATTTTTCTGTCTCTGAAGGAAAGAATCATGAGCATAAGCCAAGAATTCTGTCATATTCTCACTATGTAATCTACTTACACCTTCCTTCTAGTTTAAAAGGACAAATCTTTCTGTCAAATGCCAACATTTAGTATTTTCAGTCTTTAATTTTTGCCATTTGAGTAGGTATACATGATGTTACTGTGAAATGTCTGTTCATAACTTTTACCCTTTCTATTTTTATTTTTAAAGTTATTTATTATATTATGTTGTCAGAAAAGTCATGACTCGTTTTCGTGTAGAAAACCAGAAAAATATGGCATCACTTTCCTGATGGTCTAATATAAAAGAGACAGTGAGAGAAATGGAGAGACAGCAACCTCAAGAGGGGCTTGACACCACAATACACCCTAGCTTCAGTCAGCCCTGGATCATGGGCATGCTCATACTTGGTGTGTATAAGGAGGCCTCTAGACATGAATCCAGAATGTTCTCATGTGGGTCAACGTCATGGAGTATAATGTTTAACCACTGTGTCACTATCCAGCCTCATCTTTTGCTCATTTTTAAACTGAATGGTTTGTTTAAGATTTAGTTGTAGGAGTTATTCAAATATTATGCACACATTTTTTTTTTGTCAAAAGTGTATGTTGTGAATATTTTTCTTTCAGTTTTTGGCTTTTTTTCCCTATGCATTTATTTTTTATAAGTTGTATATAGCAAAAAAGAATATAATAACTTGCAGATACAAACCAATGATAAACTGCAATTTCACAAAACATTGTGAACATTATACACACTTTTCAGTCCTTTATTTTAGGCAATGTTCTCTTTTGATACCAAATAAAGGAACGGAAAAACACTAGAGTGAACTATTTCCAGAGTATACCAAAACAAAAGTACACCAAGAGCGTTAAGAGGGTTCCCTTAACACCATGGCCTCACCAACACTTGTTGTCCTTTATTTTTTTGATCCTAGCCATTTTGAGGTTAAATGTATCTCATTGTGGTTTTAATTAGCATTTCCCTTATGACAAGAGACTTTGAACATTTTTTAATATGCCTCTTGGGTTATTATAAGTCTTCCTTGGAGAGTTGTCTATTCAATTCATTGGCCCATTTTCAAATTGGATTTTTTTTTTTTTATGAGCAAGCTGCTTGAGTTTTGTATATATTCTAGGTATGAATCTCTTCTCTGAGGAATAATTTGCAAATACTTCCTTCAATTCATAGGGTTGTCATTTTCACTCTATTGTTCCCTTTGCTGTGAGGAAACATTTTAGCTTAATATGACCCCACTTGTCTATTTTGGGTCTATTATATATAACTATTGCCTATACTTCAGGGGGTCTTATTTAAGAAATCTTTGCGTACTGCAATATGTTCAAAAGTTTCCCATTTTCTACTAGTAGTTTTATAGTTCTAAGCTTTATATTTAAATTTTTTATCTATTTTGAGTTGACTCTTGTTAATGGTGAGAGATAAGAGTTCAGTTTCATTTTTGTGCAGGTGGATATCCAGTTCTTCCAGCACCATTTGCTGAAAAGACTGGTTGGTTTTTTTTTTTCTTTGCTCCACTGCATTGTCTGATACCCTTTGTCGAAGATCAATTGGCTATATGATTTAGGGTTTACTTTTGGATTCTCTATTCTGTTCCATTGATGTGTCTGCTTTTGTGCCAGCACCATACCATTTTGGGCTTTTTTTTTTTTTTTGGAGAGGTTTTCGCTATAGGGCGCGTGTGCTCGCCAGACAGAGAGAGAGAGACATAGAGACAGAAAGCTAGAAATCACCCCCCAGAGGGGATGGTCACGCCGCAATCCCTTCTCCCTTCTCCTCTCGGGATCTTGGGCATGCACACACACGCGCCCAGCGTGAATTTTAAGCCACCGGGTCCGGGACGCGAACCGCGGTCGACTATGTGGGAATACAGCGACATAGCCATTACGCTAACTGCTGGTTCCCCCATTTCGAAATTTGGTAATGAGATACCTCCTATTTTATTGTGTTGATACAATATTGCCTTGGTGATATGATATCTTTTATTATTCCAGACAAATTTTATACTTTTTTTTTTTTCTGTTTCTGTGAATGTCTCAGGTAATTGGCTTGGAATCACACTAAGTAAGTAAATTAATTTGGGTAGGACCAACATTTTGATTATGTTGATTCTTCTGATCTAAGAACACAGGATGACCTTTCTTCTTTTTAGTATCATATTCAATTTCTTCTTTCAGTTTTTTTTAGGGTTTTCCTTGTAGAGGTGTTTCATGTCTTTGGTTAGGTTTATTCCTCAGTCTCTTATTTTGTTTTTGTTTTTGTTTTTGAGAGGTTTTCGCTATAGGGCACGTGCGCTCGCCAGACAGAGAGAGACATAGAGACAGAAAGCGAGGAATCACCCCCCAGGGGGGATGGTCACACCACAATCCCTTTTCCTCCATTCTCTTCTCGGGATCTTGAGCACGCACGCACACGCGCCCAGCGTGAGTTTTAAGCCACCGGGTCTGGGACACAAACTGCGGTCGACTACGTGGGAGCCCAGTGACATAGCCATTACGCTCACTGCTGGTTCCCTCTTATTTGTTTTGTGGCTGTCATTAATGTGATGGCTTTCTTCAGTTCTGTCTTAGAGGTTTCATTGTTGGTGTATAAAAATGCTGTAGATTTTTGTACATTGACTTTGTATCCTGCTAATTTACTGAATTCACATAAAAATGCTGTAAGTTCATTTGTGTGTGTGTGTGTGTGTGTGTGTATTCCTTTGAATTTTCTATGTATATAATATCTGCAAGTAGGGACAGTTTAACTTCTTTTTCTATCTGTATGACTTTTAGTTTTCTTTCTTGTCTTGTCTGATTGCATTTGTGAGGACTTCTAGCACTATGTTGGAAAGGAATGGAGATAGTGGGCAGCCTTGTCTTGTTTCAGTTTTCAGTGAAAAGGTTTTTACAGACTATACAAATGTGTGTGTATGTGTATACACACACACATGTACACACACAAACAGTTTAAGAGGGTTTCTATCATTCAGTATGATGCTCACATTGGGTCTATCAAATATGGCTTTTTTAATGTTGAAGAATATCCCTTCCAGGACCAGCAGATGGCTTGGTGGTTACGTCACTTGACTCCCATGTGGTCGACTACAGTGTGAGTTCCAGACCTGGCAGCTTAAAACTCACACCAGGTGAATGTGTGTGTGTGCCCAAAATCCCAAGAGGAGAATGAAGGAGAAGGGATTACAGCATGGCCATCTCCCCA